GCCAGCGTCGCCGCCGCAGCGACAGGGGGGCAGCCGAGGGGGCAGGGGGGGGCCAGGGAGGAAAACGCCGACGTCGTCTGCACAAGCAATAGCAGCACAAGTGACGGGAGGGCTGGAAACGACCTGCTCTATCATCGCCTCTCGCGAACCGATCGCAGGGGCAAGGGGCCGCGTCGCTTCCGTCGCGTCGTCGCAGACTTTCAAGAGATGTCGAGCCAGCGGGTCCATCCCCAGGGCCCAGAGGGCGCCAGAAAGAGGGCGGCTCTGGGGGGCCCCGCGACGAATCAAAAACACGTGGGCCCGCTCGGATCCAGTCTTAAGAAATGCTTCGGGGTCTTGCGATAGGGCAAGGCCGGCATTCAAATCCACCGGCCCCCTCGTGGGGCAACCAGGCTGTAGGGCCAGCGTTTGCTGTTTCCTGCGCCAGTTCCAGCTTCCAGTTTCCATGGTTGCAATGTTGATTGATGCTGCTTACTGTTCCTTCATGTAGATCACGCGAGGGGGGGGGGCGGGGGGGGGGGGCGACAACCGCCCTGGTTAGCACTTCCCGGGAAGGGTCTCTGAAATTGCTGGGGGGTCGAGATTGGCGCCCGTCGCGCAGATCGGCGGGGTCGGGGTCCATGGGCGCATGGAATTTCTTACATTTCTAAAATCTGGTGGCGCCCCTCGCGCAGATCGGTGGGGCCAGGGTCCAACAACCAACGGGATGCGCCACATTTCCAAACGAGCAGGGGCAGGGTCGAAAAGCGCGTGGGATTCGCCGCGCTCTTGAAATTCAGCGGCGACTCTCGTGGAGATTGGCGGGGCCGGGGTTAAAAAACGCACGGGAATTTCTACGTTTCTGAAATTCGGCGGCGCCCCTCGCGTAGATCGGCGGGATCGAGGTCGAACAACCTATAGAGTTTGCCACGTTTGTGAATTCGGTAGCACCCCCCGCGCAGATCGGCGGGGCCAAGGTCGGAAAACGAATGGGAGTTGCCACGTTTCTCAGATTCGGCGCCGCCCCTCGCGCAGATCGCCGGTGCCAGGGTCGAAAAACCGTTGGGACTGCCGCATTTCTGAAATTCGGCGGCGCCCCTCGCGCAGATCGCCGGTGCCGGGGTCGAGCAACCAATGGGATTTGCCGCGCGTATCAAATCCGATGGCACCCCTCGCGCAGATCGGCGGGGCCAGGGTCCAACAACGCATGGTATATGCAAAATTGCAATACTTAGTGGAAATCTTCCTGCGTGGCACACGCGAGCAAGCTCGAAAAAGACGCCGAATTCAACGGTGCCATCAGAGTCTCAATTTGACTTGCCGATTACTCATCGTCTTCGCGCGATGTCCTGGCGCTGCTTCGCGGCCGCGCCGAGGCCCAATGATTTCGCTCCTGCATTGCTCATTGTCCGAGAGAGGGGGCCGGCGGTAGGGGGCGAAACCCTTGCGGATGGCCTCTGGGGATGTTGCATCTCTTCAGAACCGCCTTTAACAGCTGTTGAGACATGCTCGGGAAAACCGCTAAAAAAGTCAGACGAAGTAGAGCATGGCTGACGCGAGGAAGCGCCCTCTCTAATGCTGTCCAGGCGCGTTTCGGCGTCCAGATCTTGAATGTGGGGCCCAAAACTTTGGCCACTGATAAGACCTCGTTGCGCTGTTCGCACGTGCGGTTCTGCCGCCCAGCTCAAATTGATGTTGGCGGTTTGGGCGAGGGCTTTACTGTCGACATTATTGAAACTGAGCGGGCGAAGTGCGCCAGCACCCCTCGCGCAATCAGCGGGATCTTGAGGGTCGTCGCATTTGGGGGCGAGAGCGAAACTAGAATGGTTCAAGCCGTCGACAAGCCCTGCTCCCGAAAACAACCTCAACAACGCTTCGCAAAGGTAGAGGTAGCTGCTGGCGCGGCTTTCCAAGCCCCGTGGGGCAACCGATCGGGGTCAAGGGGGAAGCCCCGCCCGCGCCGCAGAGCTCCGGCAAGGTCCTCTGGAGTCGGGAAAGGAAGATCGGAGACAGAGAAAAAGGGGAGGCGTTGATCTATATACTCCTGCATGGCCTGTTCACTCGTCGTGGACTCCGAGAAGATCAGCTGCCAATGGTCGCGGGTCTGCGCTGCCATGGCCGCGGGTTCGCGCTCCGCGCCCTGCGGGCCAGCTTGCGCGTGCTTCGCCCCGTTCGGCGCCGGCCGGCGTGATCCAGGGTGCCATGCCAGGGCCTGCCGCGTGCTCGTCTCCTGAATCTTAATGTGGTTTGGCAGTCCAGCTGGATCGGCGTCGCGTCCTGCTGCCGACGGGCTCATCTGGTGGAAGCGCCGCTGGTTCGCGTCGCAGGTGTGCGAGCGAAATTGATCGGGCTCAGCGATGTTGACCATGCCGCGCTCAGTGATGCCGCGAAAGCGCTCGGCCAGTTCCAGGTTGCCCAGGAAACGACGAGCGGCGCGACGATCTTGCCGCCCTGCGACTCCTGCAATGGCCCGCGACGTCATGCATTATGTTTCGACTGCCCCAGTACCAGCAGGAAGTCGATGCCGCTGTCGCAGTCCAGCACGCGCGAAGGCAGCGGCCATGCGCAACAGCTCCTTCAAGCGAACCAATTTGGCAGCGATCTCCAACTCATCAAGACAAGCGAAGTCAACACAGTTCTGGAGGATGACCTTGAAACATTGCTCGCGGAAGATGAAGCTTGGAATGCTGCGCAGGTCCTGGCCAGGTGCCTTCTCGGGAGCGAGTCGTAGCGGCGTGATCAGATAGAGCCCAGTCCGACCACTTCGATGCCTCCTGAATCACGTCAATCGCGGCGTCGCAGTCAGCGACGAAATTCGAGCTGAAAGGAGATGGGGCAGCGGTCGAACGTGCTCGGCGATTCCGTCGCTCGCGAGCAGTGCGCAGACAAGGGGCTCTCATCTCCAGCGCGTCAGAGTCAAACGCGTTCCGCCAGAAGGTTTCCGCTTGAACGGCCAGCCCTTCATGCGAAAGTCGCGCATGGCGTCGCTGTGTGAAGGCCGGTGGCCGATTGAGGAAGTTGCTAACGTTGAAGCCGCCGGCGCGCATTGTTAGTCGGGATAGTTCATCGCCGCGCGCCCAGGCCACATTAGAAGTCCAAAGGTCGCGTATCCGTTGTCGATGGTGGCGGTGCACCTCGTAACTGTGCGTGTTGAGCTGAGGAGGCGAATCGTTTTGTTCGTGGTAGGGTTTGTGATCTCCAGGCGTCGCCGCACCGCCAGTGCTCGCGTCAGTTCGTCATCGTGCCACTCATGCCCCGAGTAGAACAGCTTGCAGTGGAAGTTTTATTGATTGAGAAGTTCCTCCAAGGTCAGCAAGTCGCCGTCGATCTCCTGGATTGCGATGAGGTGACGAACTGCGAACATCCGCTTCAGCTTGTCAAAGTTGCGGCGTCGTTTGTGGCTGCAGCAGCATGGCCCGCGAGCGTGCCATGTGGCAACCTTGAGCTCTTGCGAGCCTTGAAGGTCCAGTTCCCAAGGGAGCCACCTCCAGCGAGGATAACGTCCATGCTGAAGTGTCCACGCCCTGCAGCTGTTGTCGGAAATTCGCCCTGGTGGTGTTGAAGTCGAGGCCCAACTGCGCGACCGCTGCAGGCGACCAGGCCACCTCTGGCAGGTTCTCCGGGCCCTTGTGGTGCATCTTCGGCCACGGGAGTGGTGTCGGCACTGATGATGCTTCGAGCTCGCAGGAGACGCCACTCCAGCTGTCGATGCGCTTTTTGAAGAAGTCCCAGCGGTCGCTTGCCGTGGATGCCCTTTCTGACCTGCTTGGGGCTTTTGTCTGCGATGATGTAGATGCTGTAATTGCCTTCAGCGGCGGTGGTGGCACTGAAGCGCCTACAAGCGCCTCCAGGTAGTTGTAATGCTTGGGTCCAGTCGAACGGCGCTAGCAGTCCCAGAAGCACCACCGGGCAGCTGAAGATAGTAGACTTTCCCAGGCGACTGACCATGGATCTTCGTATTGGTCTGGTCAACGCTGGCATCCGCAAGCCATGCGGCGAGGGCGCCCTGCACTTCGTCCAGCGAGGCGGGCTGGGCGCAGCTGACGCGGAATAGGCTCGGTTTGGGCAACCTGTCGTACGTAGCCAAGCGCGGAAGGTCCACCACGCCGTCTTGCACCGATTGGGCCTGTGTCGAAGTTTGCTGAACCCAACCCACATCAGCATGAAGGGCAGCGCAGCCAGCTTGAAGAGCATCAGTGCCCTGTTGGAGAGCCCGAATCTGCCCATGATGAGCGTCCAATGGGGCCACCAGGGGCTTGAGGATGTCGAACACCGCGTCGCGCATTTAGTTGTGGGCTGTACCCAAGACGCCAGAGATCTCGTGCCTGATGTCGTCCATCTGCTTAGCGAAGGCCTCGGAAACCACTGATTCGATGTTGTCTGCCGAGACGCCATGGTGGGAGTCAGAGCCAGCAGGACGCCAGGGATCACTTGGCCCTTAACGAGGATCACGAGCACCACGGCGGTTGCGATGGGGAACTTCATGATCGGGGAAGGTGGCTGCCAAGCCATGATCGCGAACCAATAGTTCTAGGTCGGCAGCAGACATAGCAGCCGCTGGACCTGCAGCACCTGGTCCACGATGGCCACCAGGCAGAGCAGCAGGAGGAGCGGCAGCAGCTTCTCGCGGGTGTCGTGGCTCGTCGTCGCTGCTGCTGCGAAACCACGCGGAAATGTGCTCACACCGTCTGCGATCACGATCGCGGTCATGCCGCCTGTGACGGTGTCGGCGATCTCGGTGCGCGGGCCGCGGTCGCTGCGAGATGCGGATCCGCAAACGCTAGGCATGCACCGCCACGCGGCAACCGAGACTGAAAAAAAACAGGAGTACTGGGAGAACGGATGGTGCTCGGAAAGCGGGAGCACCGAGCCTGAGTGTGGGCTGCGTGGGTGCTCCCACGGCACCGCTGAGCCAGACTGGCAACGGCGCTCAGGCCCCCTTTAGACCCCAAACGGGGTCCAAAAGAGACTTGAGCCAAGATGGCTACGGAAGAAAAGAGGAGGACGAGGAGGAGGAGGAGGAGGAGGAGGAGGAGGAGGTGGAGGAACAGAGGGGAAAGATGGGTGCTCCTAGTGGAGCCCCAACGGAGCTGTGACACGGCATCGCCAAGCACTTGGGGCGGCCCTCGCCCATGCGCCTGGACCGTTCGGTGGGCTTCCCTGATGTGGCGTGTCCAGCGCACCGGCGCTCCACGAGACCCCGGGCCCGACCACAAACTCACGACAGCGGCTCGCGTGCTTGAGGAGGAGAGTGGCGATGGCTGCTGCCGGCGAGGAGGACGACCAGGAGAGAGAGAGAGAGAGAGAGAGGAGCAGCAGCAGGGCGCACTCTCGAGGGGGAAAGGTGTGGCGGTGTTGCTGCTGACGGGGAGAAGGGCGAGGAGAAGGTGGAGGAGGACGGTGAGGACACGGGTGGAGGATCGAACTCATCTGCTGGGGGAGGCAGACGAGGAGCCCCGGACGGGCGGGACTCGAGCGACCCTGTACTAGTAGGGTAACGGGCCCAGCCAACACAGGAGCTGCAGCGCGAACGACTCGAGCACCGCGCTGCGTCTGCGGCGAGGCCGAAGGGCCAGCTGGACCTGCGCGGGCAAAAGCAGAGCACGGGGCGGAGAGCCCAGCGGTCGTGGGGTGAAACTTGTCCACCTGGCGGCTTGGCACGGGCGCCGCACCGCCGGTACCGCCAGGTGAAAGAGGGCGCGCACAGGCCGCCGCCACGCGCCGCGCGGGGGACGGTCCGCCCCACGAGCAGAACCGCACCCTGTGGTCAGGACGGCCCCCACCGAGCGGGTCTCGCAGCGGGCGGCGTCGCGTCTTCAGGAACAGGCCCCCTCTGCGAACCCGTCGGCGCCGACGCCGCGGGGGAGCTGGATGGTGCCCTCCACGCCCTCTCCCCGCGGACGCCTGCTCCACCAAGGAGCAGGGCGCCACTGAAACAATCAGACAGGCGACGCTGCGGAGGAGGGGCAGAGTAGGGCCCTCCATGCCCACCCCCGCGGATGCCTGACCCTCCAGGGGGCAGGGCGCCAGTGAAAGAATCAGAGAGGCCTTCCTGCGTGGATGTGCGGGGCCGCTGCGTCTTTTCCTCCCCTTCCCCCCCCCCCGGGTGTCGCCAGAAGCGGCCACTATTGAGGGGCGCGCCAGAATTCAAACTCATGTTTGTCTGCGTGCGTGTGTGTCTGGGTTGAGGAGGAGGAATGTGTTAGGAGACGACAACTACTGGGAGGTCTTCGTCGGAAGGAACAGGGAGGAGTATGCTCCAGAATGGGGGGCTGCTACGACGGATCAAGCTGCGGATTCAGAAGGATTCGCCAGGATTAAAATGGGATGAAGACGGATGTGGCGGGATCGAGCCGAAGCGAACCAGACTTCGGACCAGGGAAACGTCAGAACTTGGTCTCCCAGGAGTCACATCCGATTTGGCGGGTGTGGGACTCGGGGATGGACAGACCCCCCTTTAGTGAAACGTGGTTTAGTGAAAACGACCTGAGGCCCAAACCTGGCGGGCGCAAGCCTGGAAAATAGCGGCCACGGCGCCCTCTCGAGAACCGAAAACGGACAATTCACTAATCGACGTGTCACTGTTGGGGGTTCTGTCCACCCCCGAGGGACTCGGTCCCGCGGTGCGCAGAAGGAGGCGCGGCGAGGCGGGCAGCTTCCTGAAAGCGCACCGGGGGCGGGGCCATATGCAAGGGATCGGGCAAGGCTCCGGCGCGGGCCTCTCTCTCTGAGGGCGGGAGGGCGTCCGTGGAGCCTTCGTGCCCTCTCCGGACCCAGTCCCCCAGTACCCATTTCGGGCGTCCAGACCCCCAGAGGTCTCGACCCATTCCCCCGGGAATGGTTTCGCCTCCCGATTTGCTTAGAGGCCTCCTAGATGGGGTCGGAGTAGATGGGGTCGGAGGATCGCGCCGTATCGCCGATACATCGGTGATGCATCGCCGATGCATCGGCGATGCATCGGCGATGCACCAGCGATGCATCGTCGACGTCGGCGATGCATCGACGACGTCGACGGGAAGCCAATCGGGCTTCACATCGAGCCACATCGCGCCACATCGCCGATGCATCGGCGATGCGGCGCGATCCTCCGACCCCATCTGCTCGGACCCCATCTAGGAGGCCTAGACTGCTTCTTGACGGCCATGGGGGGCCTGGCAAGGGCCCCCGAAGGCCGGGACTCGCGGGCGACCTCCCGTCGTGTTTCTCGTATGACCCCATGGGCTCCTTTGCCGCCCCCCCCCGCCCCAGCCTTAGGTCGGGCCTGTCCCCCTACAGGGGGATTTTGGACGACAAATCAGACTAGTCAAACAAAGACCCCCGCAGATATTCAAAAATGGTCAAACATCGTCCCCTGACCATTTTTCGAAATATCTTTCGATATTCCTCCTGCAGAGGGACAGGCCCGACTTCACCCCAGCCCCTCTCGGCGCGCCTGCCGTTCGACGAGTTCGGTGCACCCCCCTGCTGGCGGAGGGCCCCGCCGGCGGTGGCCGCTGGCGGGGGAGAAGACGGGCGGCCATGGCCATCTCGGTGCAGACCCTCCTCCTCCTCCTCCTCCTCCTCCTCCTCCTCCTCCTCCTCCCCCTCCTCCCCCTCCTCCTCCTCCTCCTCCTCCTCCTCCTCCTGCTCCTCCTCCTCCCGCACCCCTGGAGCGCGCCCCCACTCGGGCCCCCGTGTCTGGAATTCCGGGGGCACGGGCGGCGCGCCCGGGGGCAGCGTGTCTTCTCCCTCGACCCGCTCCCTGGCCATCGCTCGGACGTCCATTCCCTGTGTTTTTGTTCGGTTTCGTGCGTGTTTTTTTCGCCAAATGATCAAGGATGCTCCTCGATGGTCCTCGCCGAAAAAAAAAATGCACACGCCCGAGCGATGCCAAGCTCCCCCATTCCACGGCCCCCAGCGTGCACAGCGAACGCCGAGGCGCGCCCGGCCCTCCGCCCGCCTGCCTCCAGCGTGGCGGCCGGAGGGGGAGAACGGCCGTCGGGGGACACACATGATGGCATGACCGTGTGCTTTCGGTGGCCCGCGCTGCTGTCTTGGATCGGCGCTGCGCCCCCTCCCTCCCTGGCGCGCGAGCCGCTGCAGGGGCGGCGCCGGCGGCGCCGCCAGGGGGGGGCCCAGCGCCGATTGAAGAACGCCCTGCGGAACTCCGAACGCTCATGCTTATGCCGTGTTGTTGCTTCTGGCACGCCCGAACTTGGTGCGGAAAACATGGGTACGAACGCGATAGCGGCAAACAACAACAGCACCACCACCAACAACAACATCAACAACACCAACAACACCAATCAGTTTAACACTGTCCGTTCTTACTGGCACGCGTGTTTTGCATTCCGTATACCCCAACCCTCGATACTCGCCCTCTTCGTCTTCGATCGCACCCTCTTTCGGGGGGGAATGTCTTCCTTCTCGGCCACTGGCTGAAGTGCGAGGAACTCTCGAGCGAGAGCGTCGTTCCTGAGTCCCACCAGCCCTTTGGGCGTGAGTGGTTTAGAGAGCTCTCTCTGTCCTCAACCCCCCAACCCCCCTTCTTCCCCTTCGGGGAGGGGTTTACCCCTCCCCCTACCCCTCCCCCTGGGCCTGGAGAGGGCGGGCCGCGGGTCGTTGGAGGGGTCTTTTCCGACTCCTGGGAGGGCCAAAAAACGACGACCCTCACGAGGATTCTGGCCCCGTCGGGGGGAGGGAGAAAAAATGCTCTCCTCTTCTCTGAAGCCAAAATCATTGATTTTACTACGGTTTTGGCCCCATTTTGGCAGTCTGAAGGGCCAGCGCTGCTGCTCCTTGTTCTCCAAATCATTGATTTTACGAAGGTTTTGGGCTCATTTTGTCTTTCTCAGGGGCCAGCGCTCATTTGCGCTTCTCAGGAGGTCGCAAGAAGCCCCCAAGATGGCCCCAAGAGGCCCCCAGGAGGCTCCCAAGAGGCCTCCAAGAGGCCCCCAAGAGGCCCCCAAGAGGCCCCAAGAGGCCCCCAAGAGGCCCCCAAGAGGCCCCCAAGGGCCCCACGAGGCCCCCAAGAGGCCCCCAAGAGGCCCCCAAGAGGCCCCCAAAAGGCCCCACGAGGAGCCCGAACGACTCACACCACGAGGAACCCGAACGACTCACACTCAAGGAGGGGCCCGAACGACTCACACCAGGACGAGGGGCTCGAACGACTCACACCACGAGGAGCCCGAACGACTCGAACGAACTCACACACACCGAACGGAGCCCGAACGACTCACACCACAAGGAGGGGCCCGAACGACTCACACCAGGACGAGGCGCCCGAACGACTCACACCACGAGGAGCCCGAACGACTCACACCACGACGCGGGCCCCGAACGACTCACACCACGAGGAGCCCGAACGAGTCACACCAGGAGGAGGGGCCCGAACGACTCACACCAGGATGAGGGGCCCGAACAACTCACACCACGAGAAGCCCGAACGACTCACACCAGGACGAAGAGCCCGAACGACTCACACCACGAAGAGCCCGAACGACTCACACCAGGAAGAAGGGCCCGGCCGACTCACACCAGGACGAGAAACCCCAAACGACTCAGATCACGAGGAGCGCTTTCTCTCCCTCCTCCTCCGCCTCGTCCTTCTCCCGCTCCCCCCACAAGGAGGGTTCACAAGGAGGCGGGAGGAAGGAGGGACAGGGGAGATATACGGAGCCCAGCGGACACACGCCTGAAAAACACAACTGCCGACATGCTTCGCGAGAAGTGCTGCTGTGAGATGGGCTGGTGGGGATACGCGAAGCGTAAAGAATTCGGATGCCTCTCTGGCCAGGCCAAGGGCTCTCGGAATACATCATACTGAAAATCTCGAACGGGAGCCCTTGTCGCCGTGTCTGGGCCTACACCAACTTGCTTGAATTCCGAGAACATCTCGAGCGAGAGTATCACTCTTGAGTTCGGGGGCCTCTCTGGCACGGGCCTCTGCGAATACATCTTGAAGACGTATCGAGCGAGAGCCCTTGCCGTCGTAGTTCGGCCTCTATTAACTTGACTTCATTATGAGATAATTTTGAGCGAGAGCGCCGTTCCTGAGTTCGGGGGCCTTCCTGGCCAGGGGCTCTTGGAGTAAGCCGCAAGAAACTATCGAGCAAGAGCCCTTCTCGTCGTGGCTGGGCCTCCGACGACCTGACTGGACTGCGAGGAACTCTCGGGCGAGAGCGCCGTTCCTGAGTTCGGGGGCCTCTCTGGCCAGGGTGCCTCGGGGTAAACCGTGAGGAAAAATCGAGCGGGAGCCGTTGTTGTCGTAGCCGGGCCTTCAATGGGCACACTTTTACACTCAAGCCAACGCTCCCGCGGGAGCCTCGTTGTCAGAGAAAATATGTAGCCGGCGTCGGGGCGAGAGCGCGCGGAAGCGTTTCCAGAGATCAGCAGTCATGTATTTTGATGAGCACCCGGCAGCAACAGCAACAACAGCAGCAGCAGCAGCAGCAGCAACAGCAGCAACAGCAACAATGATTTTCAGACTGTTCGCCCTTCTCAGCTCGAGTGTCCAATAGCGCGTATTTCCCAGACCCTGGATACCCGCCATCTTCGTCTTCGATCGAACCCCTTTTGGGGGGTATACCTTTCTTCCCTGCAGGCCGGGCCCTGGCAAGCGGCGGGGCGGCCGCGGACCGTCGGCCTGGCGAGCGGCAGCGCTGATCGGCGGGGCGGCCGCTGACCGTCGACCCGACCCCAAGAGGGACGGACAGGGGACCGACCACGACGACGATGACGACGACGACGACGACGGCGACGGCGACGACGAGCGAAAGCGAGAGCGAGAGAGAACGACAGCAGGGCCACGAAGGACACGAAGTAGGCCACGAAGGGCGACAGCGGGGACACGAATGGAATGCGTATGGGGCCACGAAGAGCGCGAACGAGCGGGGGCCACGAAAGGCAGAGAATGCGGGGGAACAGAAGGCAACGATGGGGCCACTGAGGGTAGCAACTGGGCCACGTAGGGCAGTGACGAGGCCACAAACGGCGACAGCGGGGCCACGAAGGGCATGCACACGGGGCCACAACGGGCGCGAACGAGCGGGGGCCACGAAGGGCATGCGTATACTGGGCCGCGGAGGGCAAGGACGGGGCCACTGAGGGCAGCAACGGGCTACGAAGGGCAGCGA